ACATTTATCACATTCTCTATCTTCATCATCTTCGTCTTCATCATCTTTTTTATCATCTTTAACATTTCCATCACAATTATTCCGTCATCTTCATTATCCTCTTCGTCACCATCCTTTGTATCGTCCTCATCTTCTTCACCTTTTTCATCATCTCCTCCGATCTATTTTCAATATTTTTAAAATCTTCGCCATCTTCTTCTTCATCTCCGTCATCATTTTCTTCGCTTTCATAATCTTTTTAATTTACATCGTCCTCATCATTTTTGACACTTATTTCATTTTTACGATCACTTTCCACTTCATGAAAAAAATCGGCGAATGATGGCATTGGGAAATGTGTTATTGATGACGATTGATCAAAAATTCAGACTAGAATTTTTGCATTTTTCGCGTCGACATTTTTTGGTCGATTTGCTTCTAAATTTTGAGGCAAGGTAGAAACTTTCTAAATGTTCTCGAAACCCGGAGAGTATTTAATAGGTGGAAAAATATTTCAGTCCCATTTTCTGAAACAAAACAAACAAGCTAGCCATCTAACCAGCATATAAACAAATCAGCAAACGAACGTACAAGAAAACGAACAAACAAAGTCATAGAAAAACAATGAGGAGAAACAAATATAGAGGCGATCAACTAAGAAATTGATGTAGACTGAAGATTTGTTGTTTGATAAGCTTGATGGGGTTCTTTCATGGAAACTAGCAACACCATCCATCTATTCACAGATAAGAGACAGGCAGAGACATAATTCGCATTTAATATATGCCAGTCTGCTCCACTCAAGCACACTAATTTTAGCAAGACGCTCTCATAAAAACGCGTACAAAATTTATGCTAGTGTTTTCAGTTAGATGAGCTGATCATACCAAGAAGAATATTCATAAGTTGATAATGTTGTTAAAGAAGAACTATGGTTAACATGAAATGTAAATTGATGAAATGATGATAGCAACAAAACAATGCTTATAACAGAAAAAACCACTAATAGAATTATTTGGATAATATTTTAATCCTATCAAATAACACCATACAGTTGTTTTTGTTTCAATTTAAGCAACTTTGTATCATCACTGTTTTTTCAACGCCCTTAAAACTTTTTCAAAATACAACAGCATTGTACTTTTTTTGTTTCAACGCATTTACCTTCCTAACTTTTCAGACAACAGTGGTAACATTTATTTTTGTTTTAAGATTTTTCCAAGTCAGAACCTCTACCTACCTCCAATGGCTCTTCATCCATGCGGATCCACAATGTTTCTTGTTGTTAGATTGCATTGGGTGTATTCTTACATACATCAAATGACGAGATGGCTGTGTTTCGTCACATTGAACTGCTTTGCAATGTTAAGATATTTGTGATGCATGCGTAAATTCAAACGCAATTTCAATTCATACGACGTGTGTGTGTTCAATTCATACCATGTGTGTGTATATGTGTGTGTGTGTGTGTGTGTGTGTGTGTGTGTGTGTGTGTGAAGGTGTGAGGGAGATAAAAAATGTATGTTTGTCGAATGCGATGAAAAAAACAAACAATTATCTATTATCACAAATAGTGAAATTTTGGTTGTCTGCTCATGAGTTAGCTCATTTTTCTTTAGAAAATATTCTTTGTATAAAGTGTATAAATTACACAATTTTATATCTAGAGCGTGCGTAAATGTTTTGTTATAGAAAAACTATTAAAAAAATATCCCAAACTGAAAAATGAATAAACAGCCCTCACAGACAAGACGTAACAATTTGTTAGAACTTTTCTGTTTACTGAACATCCACACTTGCTTGCATGTCTGAATTCGTTTCAAAAAATATAAAAGTTCTTGCTTAATTGGAGCTGATGAGTTTAAAAAAAACGTTGAAATTTAACTCCTTCGTTAAGACCTTCGGCTTAAAGTTTAAGAGCCTTATACAAATGACCACACTACAAACAAGATAAGAAAAAACATGAAATAAAACAAATTATTATTAATAAAATATTATCAGTAGTTTTCAAAAGCAAATAAAAGCATCATTGTGACGAAAAAAATAAGAAAAATAAACCCGCACGCGTATTTAAAGCTGATGCAATAAATACCGATGCAACAACAAACAACGTGCAAACAACAACAATCTAAACAACTAAATAACAAAAAGATAAAAAAAAACTGATAACAACAACAAAATTAAACATGAAGAACAAGAAAAACAGATAACAACAACAAAATAATTAAACGACAAGAAAAAAAGGACAACAACAACAACAACAGCAGCAGCGAGGACAGGGCAAATAAATTGCGCTTCCTATTATCATATTTTCTCATTGCATTCAAATTGCCCACCGACTAATTAAAAAGTAATATAAACAAGCACACGCACACTCACACGCACACATTCACGCCCAAAGTGTATACCACAATAGATATATAGACAAACACATACGCACAAATTTATCTATCTATTTATAGTAGCAATTATATAATAATAATAATAATTCAAACACACACAAACACACCGACACACCACACAAACACACACACGCTCACACTCACACACAAACATGCGTAGGCATGTTTTGTAAAATAAACACTAAAAAAATAGTGGACATTATTTGCTTAAATTAAATACATTAACGAATTATTTTAAATGAAAAATACCTAACGGTGAATGTTAATTTTATTGAGTTATGATACCTCGATGGAAGTTCGATTGCATGCATCATGATACTTGGATAATAGTCAAATTTACTTGACAAATCATTAATGGAGTTGCTTAAATAACCTATTGAATAGCTTATCTAACAATTTTATTTCAATTCTTCGTATAATTTCTTCTGAATTTTTTAAAGTCAATATTTTTTTATTGATACAAATCATCGTAACGGCAATTGCCATTACTTTGTATTTACTTTAATATAAATTAGAGTAATTCATCAGGTTAAATTTTTTTTCATTTTTTTTTCAAAAAATTTTACTATATTTATATCTTTGCCAGTCTTTGTGTTGAGATAGCATGATACATTCTGATACGAAAGTGTACCCATTTGTGCAATCATTTTGAAACTCAATACCGATCACCAGCGTTTGATAAATTTTTTGCGAAAACTCTTCAAAATATGACCCTCTTCAAAAATATGAAGTACAATTTCTGAAGCAGATTTCAGGAGAAACAAATTAAACAGAACTGTAAAAGATTTCACGATTGTTAATGATGTTGATATAATACTGTCCAGTACAGATGGCTCCAGAAGTTTATAATTAATAAGTTTAGAATATTTAATTTCAGGCATAGTTCATCTAGCAAACTGACACGTTGGTGTACCGTAAACCAAGTAGGTGGCACCCAGGCATGTCGTACCGTGCATATATTTATAAAAACAGTTGATTAAAGTTTAAACTGTGAAACGGTGGTTTATTTGTTTCGTATTCGTTAGGCGAAATTTTGGATGCATGAAAGCTTTGCACTTCGAGCTTTTTCAAATAATCGAACTTTTTATCACAAAAAACTTTAAAAATAGTTTATGTAAAAACTTTCTATACGTACACAGATCAGATTTTTGCTTTGAGGTTTCCTGAATTTTACTGAGAAAAATTATGAAACAAAAATAAATAAAACAAAGACAACCATAACCAGTGAACAAAAATTTTCAAAACATGGCCAACAATGAACAAAAAATTATCAAAATGTTCATATAAACAATTATTAATTAATATTTGGAGTATTTCTTCCAAAACTGAGCTGACGTCTGTCGGACCAGCCGATTTGTGGTTTGCATTCAACGACATCTGCAGGATTAATTGCGCCTGTCAGAATGTGCCATTGCTTCCTCAACAAACCCATAAATTCAAAAATACGTTTTTTGTGAGTGATGAATGGGGAAACTCTTGAAAAGTTCTGTCAGCTAATGCCATCCATCTCAGTGTGAGGCAGCCGTGGAGACTCTCCGCTAACATGGCAAGCCATCTAATTATTGTTTGGCATAATTTGAATAATTTTCAACTAAATTTTTTGATCATAATTAATGTTATTAATATTATCTGCTGTCATGAATGCAGTAATGTATATTATGATCTATTTTAATTCTATTTGTAACTCGGAAACTAAAAAATATCTTCATTGTACCAGAAGAAATTGATGTGCAAGTTGGCATGTCGGTATATATATTTAATCTTTCAAGCAGTTTTCTATTATTAAGAAGCTATTCAAACGATTCACTGGCTCCATCAAATCAACAACCACAATTCGTCACACACGCACAGCCACGCGTCAACAAACAAAATATTATCTCATATCTGCCAGAACATTCTGTCCAAACGATGTGATGGTTATATAATGGTTATATTTTTGTTTCTTTATTTGCCCATGTTGTTGGCGGATAAAAGAATCAAAATCTGTTCAGGTTTTGGCAGTTTTTTGGCTTTATTTTTGATCCTTTTGGATTTTTATATATATTTTCATATACTTCACGTTTGTTATTTTTTGTTTTTTTTGTAGCATTTTTTAGAATTTCGTAGGGTACTGGTAAAGTTTTCAACCATTGACTGTCATCATTTTGCGCAAAACGAAGGGCCTAACGTATCTTCAACTGAATGAAGTTTTATATCTAAAACTGAAAACTTTTGAATTTGTTGTGCAATCCTGCCTTTTTATTTCAGTTTGTTTCACTTTTGCTATAATAATGAAAATGCAAATGAATTAATTTCTCAATTGTTTACTGACCAAAGATTTTTTAACAGCAATGTTTATGCTCACACAACTTAGGCATGATTTTTTAATGTTTCATTAATAACGTTTTATTTGTACTTTCACAAAATAATAATTAGTAATTATTTCCATAAACAGACAAAAATAAAATAAATATAAAATAAAAATTTGTTGGTAACTTGAAAGAAATACTAAAAATAACATTAACCAGTGAAAAATATGGAAAAAAAACATTAGCATCAAGCAATCTGATGACAAACAAATCAAAATTAAAAAGTTGTCAATAAAAAAGATTGAAACGATTATTATTTATCTGCGGCACGATGAACTGTTCACTGACAGACCACGGACTGGCGATAAGTTTTGTGGGCACCAGCATTGCCAGTTTGCTCTTCACAGTTGGAATAGTTGGCAACATTTGCGTCATACTGGTTGTCATAAAGACGAGATCCCTTCGCAGACATCCAACAAATTGGTACTTGGCATCGCTGGCTGTTTCAGACTGCATCTTACTCTGTACAGCCACTCTTCCGAGCATATTAGAGTATCGGTATTCGTTGGGAGACTGGGTGATGGGAGATAATGGAAGTTGTCTGGCTGCAGTGTTTCTGCAGTACCTTGGAATCAACGTGTCCTCCCTATCCATAACAGCTTTCAGCGTTGAAAGGTACGTAGCCATATGCCATCCAATGAAAGCTCGCATCATTTGTACAGTTTCCAGAGCCAAAAAAATTATTGGCATGGTCTGGTTGTTTGGCGCCATCTACTGCGCTCCTTGGCTGTTTTTGACAGAAACTCGATCAAAGTGTCAGTATGAAATAGAGGAAAAGCATCAAAATTTAACTTTCGTTCCAGATAACGATCCTGTTTCTAATAAAAGCTGTCTGAACGGAAGTTGTTTTCAATTTTTAGAAGATTTTGACAGTTTAAAAATTGTAAACAACATGAACCATCAAAAAAAATTTGAAATGGTAAATGACACCCACCAAAAAGTGTTAACGTTTACTTACGAATGCTCTTTCAAACTGAAACGACACCAGTACAACATTTACTACATGTCCGATCTGGTCATCTTCTACATGGTCCCATTGATTGGCACCAGTCTTCTGTACTGCCTCATCGCCAGGGCACTTCATTTCTCAACTGAGTTGAATCAAGATAATCCAGTCAATCGGAAAACTAAACACAAACAACAACAACAACAATTTCAACCGCTGTTCCCTATAAAATCAAACAAAACTGACCAGTACCAACAACAGTACCCACAGCCACAACATCAACAACATCAACAATTACCAGCCGTCAAACAGACAACGACAAAAAACGAAACTGTCCAGAGAGTGAAAAGCGTCGTTTTTTACGACGGCGATGTTGCTGAAGCAAATGACTTGAAGAATGGCGAAAAAATAAAGTGTGGTTTGTTCATTTCGCAGTCACAACAACCGCAACAAGTTCACATCTATCATCACCATCACCAACAACATCAGCTGGTTGATCATGTGCAACAAAACCAGCAACAACCTCACCACTTACAACATCAAAATTCTTCACAGCAACAACATCCCTTTGTCAAACGTTCCAACAAGCAAAACGTTGCTTCGTCGCGAGTGCAAGTTAGTTTTTTGTCGTGAAAGTTGGGCTTTTCGTGCAAATTTTGCTATGCTGGTAATTAAATTTGTTGTGTTTTGGATTGTTGAACAGCGGACAGCGGCACTTGTTGTTTGGTTTTGATTGTTTTCAGTTAGTCGATGTTAATGTCGATAATGCAGTTGTTGCTATTATTGTTATTATTATTATTGTTGTTGTTATTATTATTATTATTATTATGCAGTGCGATATGGCGTGTGTTAGACAAACAATGAAGCTCAGTGTCCGTACCTGATAAATGTTTAACTGCCGGCGTTCACAAAAAGGCTTTTGCTGTCCGTTTTTTAATGACGACGAGGACAATAAAAGGGATGATGTGACGACGAGATGACAACGGTGTTGGTGTTTGTCTTTGGAGGTCTGTTGATGGGTGTTGGTTGCCTTTTTGATGTTTAATGGTGATTGTGTGTGTGTCTTTTGAGTGCGCTGTTTCGAGTTTGTGATCAGCAGTTTTGGATTCATAAACTTTCGTTTGTTTGACGTGATTTGCATTTTACAACAGGCTTGTACATCACAGGAACGCATTAAAATAAGAACTTCAATTTATATTCATATACGTTTGTGTTGAATAATTATTCATATTAGAAATGCAAATATAATTACATAATCTTTCATGTTTGTGTCAATTATTTTTATGTTACTTTCGGAATCTATCAATTAGGTTTTGGTGTTAAAAATTCTTTCATGCTTGGAAAGTTTTGTAGATGAGCAAACTCATTTGAGCTCCAAATTGGTGTAGAAAGACATTTATAAAATTACAAATAATGGTTGTTTCCCCTTCTGCAAACACGGCTCACGTGAACGTGCATGAATCGAACTCACTCCACGCCACATTTCGTCGCTGTACAATGGCTGGGGATTTCTGGGCTTCATTCAAACGCAACGCAGGATTGAGCGCTTCACTGTTACAAAATTATGGAGTGAACATGAAATGAAAAATGTTTATTCTTCACGTTTGTATGCACAAATTTGTGTGCAGTCAAGTTTCGGTGCACCTTTATTCGTACGTCTTTGTAAAGAAAGCACATGGACATCGTTATTAATATAACTTCGGCTGGGAAATAATTATGAATTATGCATAAATAACTGCGGTTGATGAAACATGCTGAGCGTACATTGCAGAGATGAATACAATTCGGCTGAATTATCAGCCTCAGGAGAGTTTTTCGCAATTAAATTTTTTTTAACTTCATCGCCATTGTTTTACTATCGTTGTTGTTATTATTGATTACATTTGATTACATTATTGCTGTCATCTTTTCCTTCTTGCATCATGAAAATAAATTTTTCATTCTTATTGTGATTATAAAAAATTTTTAAAGTTACTTTTTCATCAAAATGATTATCAGCTTCTTATCTTTCACCCATCCTTGTTTTGTCGTGAATATTTTCACCATAAGCGTCACCATCACTGCTACCGTCAAAACTCTTACTGATAGATGGAGATCACGTGAGAGCTTCATCTTGAGCACGTGATTTGAAACATCCCTACTTCCGATTATCGTCGTTGATCATCAAAAATCGTAAAATGTTCACTCATTTCATTATGTTTGCAGTTGTTATTTCTTCTTAATTCCCAAGTTGATCACTTGGCTCTTATGTTGAACGCTAATATTATTTTGGTTGATATTTTCTATGCTAAAATTTTATTAAATAATTTCATAACAAGTTAATCAGTTTATTTAAACCTGACATTTTATTTTTTTTTAAATTGATGAATTTGCAGTCTTCAAGCACTTGCAGGTTCACTATCATGGAGTTATTAATGCGTAGAGGAAACAATTTGAGAACAAGAAAGATAAAGAGAAAGAAAAGAGAGTGAAAGAAAAAAAACAAATAAGAAAAACCAAAAATTGATGAGTATTTAAAAAAAGGTATTTGAATGAATTTGGTAAACATGAAAATGCCACAAAATGGCGTGTGGTAAAACTGTTTTCGATCATCATTACAAATGGGAACAGTTTAAAGATAACATATTTACATTTACTACGGAGTTTGAGTTCAAGAAATAATTTTTTTTCTCGTAATAGGGAAGAAATTAAACTTTTTAAGAAGGGATATATATATATACTCATGATAATAAAGATGGCTAAAAATATTTGAAACCCTCGTCTAAAATGCAAAAAGCTGAACTGATGTTCAATTTTTCAAATTTTCCAAAATGAGAAAATATTGTAAAATTATTGATAACAATTGAGTTGATGTTTTCGCCGAGAAGAATGTTGATGTTGATACAACGGTGAATCGGCTTGATTATGGAAATGAAGGTTTTGTGACAGAAGATCGGCTAGGTATAACGGGAGATTGTGAGTAAAACGATGCAGATGTAAAATTTACTTTTCATTTCAGCGTATTCTTCGCCTAGAACTAACTGGCGTGCAAATGCATATCATAACGTTGACGACAATTTTTGTTAATTGACAAGAATATTTTCCATTTGAAAAATTTCATTTTCGTGCCTAACATTTTTTAGAGTCATGTTAGTCTCCTTGTTAGTAACGTGGCTGCTTGCTGTGCAACACCTCATTCATCAACACTGAATAATGTTGTTTAACACGTTGAAGTGGTGGCTACTGGAGTAGCGATCGCAGCTGCAAACGCTTCGTTCGTGCGCTTCTTTATTGGTGTAAATGTATTAGGAGAATAAATTATAGTTATAAATATTTGATGAAGTGAAGCAAGTTTGGCACACGTGTTTGTAGTTGAAGTTGCACTAGTAAATCAACTCAATTATGCACGTACCGTATGTACTTACTTGAGTTCACAAATCCATTCTAAATGTAATTATTTTAAATGTGAAAACATTTGCTGGTACATTAATACATTATTTAATTAATTTCATTTACATATAAATAAAATGCGAAAACTAATAAAAATGAAAAAATAAAAATCAAAGAAAATATATTAAGTTCATTCAGTATGCGATAAAGTTATTTATATTTTTCATTATATAAATGGTTAAAGTATAAATTTTCAGCAGCTAAATTTTTAAAGAGTTTATTGATTTGAATAACAAACTTAAAAATATAAAGTCATCAAAATGACATCTAAGATTGCTGGACGATGCAGTTGTTCAAATGGCACCAATAACCGATCAAAATTGAAATGAAATATGCTTTAGCTGCTGTTTTGTTTGTGCACACTATCATGTCATTGTCATCTTCATCGTCCTCGTCATCATCATCGTCGCCAACGTCATCATCATCGTCGTCTTCATCCTTCTCATCATCATCGTCATCATCATCACCACCATCATCATCATCATTGTCAGCATCAACATCATCGTCATAATTTTCATCATCATCATCATCACCATCATCATTAATTTCATTAAAACCTTCGACATTCCTCCCCCTATCACCTCCACCTTCATTGATGCCACCTCCATTGGAACTCATTCAATATCTTGACCGACACTCTGGTTTTTTAAACATCACCATCACCATCATCATCATCCTCAACACCATCATTATCATTGTGATCACAATCATCATTTTTAAACATAATCATTAGTAGTCATCATCACCATCATTATCATTTTAATCATCGTCATCATTATCATTATCATTCGATCATTGTCATCATCACGATCACCCTCGTCATCGTCATCAGCACCAACCTAACAAACAATCACACCTCTCATGTCTACCTCTCCTCCATTCCATGGTACATGCAGGTAGAGCCATTGGAAGATTTCCCCTATTATCGTTCTTTTTCTATTATCGTCCTGTCATAAATAATTATCGATGGATGGTGTGACACCGACTCATTTTTATTTAATGTTCTTTGCAGTTCATTGTTTCTTTTCTATCGTTCAAAAATCAGATGTTTTTTTTTACAATCCTAATGACTTCGAATAGAATTAAATTGCAAATTAAAATGAAGCAGAAAATTATTAAATTACTTATAGTGTATGCGTATCGTATATGTATGTATGTATGTATGTATGTATGTATGTATGTATGTATGTATGTATGTATGTATGTATGTCCGGGCGCCTACCATCATGCGCAGAAATGCCGGATGGTTCCTTGAGAACCGGGATTGAAGCCTTGGAGAAGAGCCGACAAATGTAGTCGTTTAGCGCTGAGTGACGTAGTTGACGGCCCCCACCCAGGCGACAAACCAAACCGTGGTGCCCAAACTCGTCCGCCTCAGCGCCGCATCGGCACGTGTATTTATTTTGAATGACCAGGCCAAGTCTGAAGCCAATGGCAAATCTTACAGACTCGTCGTCAAGCCTGGTGCCCACAGAGGTGTTAGGCCACGATCTCAACCAACCACAGCTGGCAACGCTGGACATGGCCAACAAACGAGCGGTGGAAAAGTCGTCGCCGCATGAAGACAACAAATTTTGAAAGATTTTTTTATATTCTTCGATCAAAATTTGGACGTGCGTACGGTCCCCCGGGGCGGACGCTGGGGGAAGAATATCGCGGCAACGAAAAAACCGGTGGAGCAGGAAAGACTGTAGGTCGAGAGTGGCAGCGGCAGAAGAATTATAAACAACGGGAGCCAGCTGAACCACGCTAAGCAACCCCAGCCCACCAAATCGCACCGGCAGCTGAGCCTGGGACCAACCACTGTCGGTCACTTGAACATTGCAAATCGACGACAGGGCGGTGCGCAGGGCTCCGTCAAATTCGCCCAATTTAGAAGGGTCAATGTGTTTAGATGTACGCAGGAAGTACATCAATTTGGGCAAACTGAATGTATGTATGTATGTATGTATGTATGTATGTATGTATGTATGTGTGTGTGTGTCTATGTGTGTGTGTGAGTGTGTATGTGTGAGTGTATGAGTATGCTAAGATTATTTATTTATTTATTTTTGTTTTATAATAAATTGTTAATTTATTATTTTAATTTTCTTTAAAAAAAAGCAACTTTCCATAAACTTGAGTTGTATTTGTATTTATATGAATGTGCGCGCCAATAAACTTTCAACGTTATAGTTTTCAGTAGTTGGTTAACTTCCGCATTTAATACCTAATTTAAATATTTATCATAAGTGTTCAAATATTTAATAAATTATTCATTAATTAAAAAAGTTCTTTTTCTCAAGTTTAACATCAAAAAATGATTTAATTAATTAGACATTAGAGCTTCATTACAAAGAAACAGTTTGAATTTATTTCATACGTTCAGTGTTTTTTCTTCTACGATTAAACAAAAAAATGAATGATTTACGAAAATCTTTCCCTGCAGACCAATGTTTGTAATTTTGTTAAAATCGATAATCTGAATAATTTGAAAAAAGCAAATGTCCTTAGTTGCAATTTATTATGAAAATGTTTTTATTTAATTTACAATTTTCCAGTTTTGTTGAATATTTCGTCAATCAAACCTCACTCTAACTTCAACTCTAACTCAGTAAAAAAGCTTGTTTAAAAATCATTTTTTGATTAATCATTCAGATTTAATTTTTTTAAAAATCTGACTACAATTATCTCCATCAAAAAGTCTATCGCATCTTGTTGATCAAATAGTTGCAAATGTATTTTGTGAAAAAAAAGAAGAAATAGATCTCAAGCACGTGTCGAAACATGATTGGAAGACTTCACGATGATGTCTAGACAATAGACAATAGACAATCAGTCAACGAGACAGCGTTCGAGTTTTGAGAAGAATTGATTACCGATGTCAGTTGATCATAATCATCGTAATCTTCTTCCTGATCTTTGTCATAATCTCAACCAGGATTGGTATTTTCACCTTCGCCATCGTTACCATCATCACAGCCATCTCCAACATTATCATCATCACCACCCACCACCACCACAATCATTATCATCACTATCATAATTTCCACAACCACGGACATCATCATCAGTGCTATCATCATTATCATACTTATCTAATTTGCAACGGTCGGATGTCCTATTATTCATCGATCAGTACAATGCAGGCAGATTTGTGCCAGGTGAAGAGGCAACATACAACATTTGTATGCAACATACAAAGATTTATATGCAACATACATATATTTGTATGCAACAAACAATATTTGTATGCAATAGACAAGCATTGTTACACAGCATACTAATATTTGTATGCACGATAAACATTTGTGTGCAACATACAACATTTGTATGAAATATGATTGTGCAAAATTTGTTACCAGCTCCCTGACGTTGGCACAGAGTCCAATGAAGATTACCATTTTATCAAGTGATCAACTTTCCTCAAATATACAAATTTTTATCAACTTTTAAAAAAAAAACAAGTTTCTCCATTTAAGTATTATACCCGGAAGTTCACTTTTTTTTAATTTTATTCACTGGTTTTAAAATTGCAGTCTATGTTATTTGGTATGCAGTTCATCGTGGATCGTTTGAAACTGATTAAAACAGTTTCTGTTTGATTGATTGATTTGTGAAATAAAACATGAAATAATATAAAAAAAAACATGCAAAACATTACAGAAGTACAAACTAGCACTATGTAATTAAACCTACAAACTTCTAAAGACCCATTTTGAGAAAAAACGCAATGGGACTCAAATGAACATTAAAGTAAGGACGTAGGACAATCAAAAAAACATAAAAATACACTCGAAAGATTAAACATTCTAACGAAGAGACGAACTCTTAAACACGAAATGACGATGAGGAAGATGAAGAGAGAGAGAGAGAGAGAGAGAAAGAGAAAGAAAGAGAGAGAGAGAGAGAGAGAGAGAGTGAGAGGCGTAGTAGAGAAGAGACATGTTGCTGTCTTTTCTACTATAAAAAAGTTTTTTTTTATAATTTTAATAAATTATTTTCAATGATATTAACACACTTTCACGTTTAGAATTGTAACATGAAATGTAACTTTTTAAGATAGAATCCAGATGATTAGGAAAGTCAATAGTTTTCATGAATCATCTTCCAAAACAAATACACACCACACACAGACAAACGCACAAAAACACACACACACACACAAAAACACGTACTCACACACACACACACACACACACACACACACACAAGCTCTCGAACTCGCTGACAATCTTAAAAAGAAAGATGTATCACGCATAACATAACATGGCCAGAGCAGAGCAGAGCAACCACATACTTACAAGCTGCAATGAAACAATGTGCATGTACGAACGTTCATACAGATGTACGAACGTTCATACAGATGTACGAACGTTCATACAGATGTACGAACGTTCATACAGATGTACGAACGTTCATACAGATGTACGAACGTTCATACAGATGTACGAACGTTCATACAGATGTACGAACGTTCATACAGATGTACGAACGTTCATACAGATGTACGAACGTTCATACAGATGTACGAACGTTCATACAGATGTACGAACGTTCATACAGATGTACGAACGTTCATACAGATGTACGAACGTTCATACAGATGTACGAACGTTCATACAGATGTACGAACGTTCATACAGATGTACGAACGTTCATACAGATGATTAGATTGAAAGTGAGATATAAGTTTTTAATTTTGTCCATTTGTTTCAACTTGAACATAAGTAAAAATTTATATTTTTTGTAATAATAATAATAATAATAACAAGAAAGCCAACAACAACACAAATACCAACGGAAACCACAGAAACTATGAATATATATCCATGACAGAAGCAATAACATCTACAGTTGCTCTCAGAAATGCTGTCCATTTATAAGACGAATTAAATAGAAACTCAAAGACTCACGCCTAACGAGAGTGCATGCATTCACTTTTCTGAAAGCGAGGTTTAATTGATTGAAATTTTATTTTTGATTAATTTCGCACCGTAAAAAGTTAGCCTCGCGTAAATCTTGCTTTTAAAAGAAAAATTCGATTTTTTATTTCCCGCACAACACCCATTGAGATGAAAAGAAATTGGCTATCCATCAAACGGTTTTATGGCAATCAGTTTCATTAGTACGCGCACACGCTTGTATATACAGATGTCCATACACACAAACGTAACGTCTACACACACACACACACTACACACACACACCACACACACACTACACACACACACACACCACACACACACCACACACACCACACACACACCACACACACACACACATATAAACACACACAAACACATACACCACACACACACACGCACACCACACACAAACACACACACATATAAACACACACAAACACATACACTCAAACGTCTACACTACACACACAAACACACATCATGCTTAGTTCTTCCACAGACTCCCATGTCACAAAGATGTTGTATGGCTTAAATGCCATTAAGTTCATCGCGGAGTTATATAGTTGCAGCAGCAGTTGATGAAAATTTTTCAGCAACCGACCGTTGTGAGTAAAAAATTTGTTTTCATTAGCAAACAACGAATGAGGTAAGAGAGTTATGTGTCCTTGCAACAAACATGTGACGACTAAGAACTGCAGCTAAGAACTAATTTTGAATTGTCTCGTATTAAATAACTTGAAAAGGAAGGCTCATTTATTTGTTCCAAGACGTATGTTGGAGTAGGATGCATGTGACGAAGCATCCAAAGAACCACTATCTACAATTCCTCTATCCTCTTTTAATACTAATAATATTAATGCAAGTAAAAAGGTAAAATAACTTTGAACAAATAATGTTCATTTAACTAATAATTTCTATAATTAATTTTTTAAAGATATAAATCAAGAATTCAAAACAAAAATGATACAAGATTTTATAAGGTGAATGTATTGTAGAGAGAGAGAGAGAGAGAGAGAGAGGGAAAGAGAGAGAAAGAGAGAGGTACACTATCACCAGTTAGCATGAACTCTTCAATCAAACACGTTACACGCAACAGTAATTTTTTGACAAAAACTAGAAAATGAATATGGATCATGGGAAAGTAACAACAAATGAAAACATTGATTTCAATGTTGTTGTTCTGTAAAGATCAAAAGGTCATGGTCGAAATCGTCTTCATCGTCCTCAATTTTTAAAGGCAATCTTCTCAATAACTATCTTTGTTGAATAAACTTTTATTTTGACAATTAGGTCAAGTTATTAGATCAGAAGATTCAAATGTTTAATATATATTATTAGTAGAAAATTCCAATTTTTAATAGATATTCTTGTTAATATTTCGTTGAGCTTATTTACCTGATATGAATTATTACATTGTTAGTTCTTAACAGGTGGCATGCAAAGTTTATAACTTGCCTGGTGGTCGCCAGGCCAAAATAATCGTTTATTTGGTGAATAAAATAAAATAAATATTTTTTTCCTACAATTATCATCATGATTACCATCACTATAGTGAACATCCAAGATTATAATGGTTTTCGTTCTTCGTTTTAATGATCATCATTATTATTATTATTATTATCATCATCATCATCATCATCACCATCATCATCATCACCACCATCACCACCATCACCATCATAATCATCACCATCACCATCACCATCATCATCATCATCATCGTCGTCATCATAATCATCATCAATATTATTGTCATCAACACCATCACTATCACCATCAATATCATCATCACATCATCATCATTGTCAGCGTCATCCTCATTGTGATTTTCGTCGTCATCATCATTCTCATCGTCATAACCGTCACCCTTCTCGCCATCTTCAACATAATTAACATCATCATCGTTTACAACCCATTTTTAAAACCCACAAAAATTTTTTTGGCAGCCAAATTCAATTTCAAATATTTTTGTTTATATGAATGTTTTATGTAATTTTTTGTCATGCAATACTTAAAAGATAAAGAGTTCGAATTCATAATAGAAAAAATTTAATCAAATTTGAAATGAACTCAAAATGTCAAATAACTTTATTTGGATGTCTGTTAAATCTGCAAAAATGAATCTTGAAGGAACGAAAATGTAAAAATGTTAAATGACTACATTTGAAGAGAAATTATGAAAAACTCTTTAGCGTTCACGTGTTGAAAGTGGCTGCTTATGTTTCATCAGGTTGGTTGGTCTTGGTTCAAATCGATTGAAGATAACTGACAGGCGATCTTGAGGGTCATCACAAAAATTTAATTTGACACAAAAATAAATAAATTAGTTGAATAGATTAGCTTAAAGTTTTATAAGTGGAACGCAGTTCAAACGGAAACCCAGGTTAATAAATAAAATTATGATGAAGCTCGAATTTAATAAAATCCCTCACTGCCTCTGAATATGGACAGCCAAATAGGACGCCACTGTTGACTGTCACTGGCTGTCTGAATGTTTTAACATTAGTAACAACAACAACAACCTTAAAATATGTTATATGTTTCCAATAATGAAAACAACAATATTAAAATAGCAACAACAAAATTGAGTTTAATTTAGCCAAAATATTAGTTGAACACGTTTAATACATGCTTCACAGAAAAATTAACAACAGTAAGCAGAAGATTAGCATAATGCATTCAAGATGTCGAAATACATTTATCGAAAGTAAGACTGACGAGATGACTTCACAGCAAGGGCGCCATAATAACTCGTGAATAACTCTCTGTTGTGCAACCTTACAAAATGCAGAATTTCAATTTTTAGCGCGGAAAAAACATTTCCCTGCATGCAATCAGCCGGAGAGATGACGTTGATAAACATTTCCTGTCTTCAAAATGCAACTCAATTAATCCTTGCTGTTTGTCCTGGGGACATAATTTTGGTGCTACGTTCTGCACTGTCTTACCTCTTTGTTTTCCTACCCGCTGATTACTGCAGACAACAAATATTTCCTCTTCCTCCTACTCATCATCCTCTTTCTCCTACTCATCATCCTCTTCTCCTACTCATCATCCTCTTCATCCTACTCATCATCATTATCATTCTCGTCGTTAATTTATGCTCTTATCAGCAGATTCATCACCATCATTATCTTCGTCGTCAGATTTATTAACATTACTATCATCATCATCCTCATCAACCTTATTTCTTTTTAATAAATTTAATTATTACTTACTTTGACATCAAATTCATCCTTAATTAAATTAAAATTAAATTAAATTCAATTTGTCCGTTTGTCGGTCAAATTAAGACTACAATTGAGGCTGAAGGTTGAATGTCTCTTGTGCACTTGCTTCAAAGATTTCAACGACAAGCACTCGCACAGCGTATATAAACAGGCGTGAAATTATAGAGCCATTGATCGGAAGCAACGCGTCGCTGCTCTGATTACGTTTTCTTCACATTTCTGTACGTCTGTTGTTTATGTTGTCATTAGGCAGGTCAGCTGTGCGAGATTTTAGAGGGCCTCCTCTATCACGTGCTTCCCTCTTAACTCTATTGTCACTAATGAGGCGAGCCAACCAGTGAAGATGTTTATGTCGGTCTTTGCGTGTCTCTCTGTGCGTTTCTGCAGGTTCCGCTTGTCTTGCCCTTGTGATCGTCTGCTTTTGGGTTTACGTCCGCTTGTGTGTGTAGTGAAAAAAAATAGGGCTTAATGCTCTGTTGACATTTTTGAGAACTGTTTTAAATTATACACTTCGAAAATTTGTTCATTCACTCGAGTTAATTAAGCACAACTTGGCCAATAAAATTTATGCTTCTTAGCTAACAGTTTCTGCATCGTTTAGTTAAATATTTTAAAGTTTAAACCATTTCAGTTTTTTACAAAATGTATCAAGTTATTAAATAAATAACGTAAAAGATGCATCGAGTGCTTAACAAATAATTTGCATTTCAACGAACCAGATTTTAATATACAAGAATGTTGTTGAGCATACAAATTGTGTTTATCAGTTTAAAACAAGTATCAATAAATCTCTTTCTGTAATTTTTGTATCTACAGCTTTCTTGAATGTGGTCAAAATTGTGTGTCCGTTAAAATGTGGAACTTTGTTTTTAAAGAACGAGAAATTAATTTTTAATTAAAAATTACTAAAACATCCTAAGTAATCATAGGTCGAAACAATACATTGAAATAATTCATTTCAAAGGACCAAGATGATATTTCTGTTTGGGTCAGATATCATTTTGAAATCCATTTTTTTTTGTTGCTATAATGACTCAAAAAAAAGTTAAATAATTTTATAATATAAAAAAAATTGATCGATAAAAAAATTTTCACAAAGAAATCTGCTTGAGTTTGAAGCATCTGATAATTAAACAACATCTTCGAATTAAAATTGGTCCATCCACTCCAGGTGTATAGTTTTTATTTTTTAACACGTTGTTTTTTCCATTGAGATGCTGAATTGATTGCGAGGAAGACTTCGCCGCCGAAATGAAACTGATAGAAATAATTTGATCGATGAACAGAAAACATATCCGGTTTGAAACTGGAAAAGTTTTTTTTAAAATTTAACAACTACTAAGAACAAAAAATTGAAAAAATTTCATAATAAAAGTTTAAATGGCTGGCCATTATCTGCGCCAAACAACTTCTCCAGGTCTCCACAGGGGTGGGCATGAAGAATAGTTTATTACTCCTCTTTGAACATTTTCTAGAACTTCTTCCTAATCAGACCCCAGCCAATTTTATTTAAAAAAACATTCCCACAAAGCTTTCTGTTATCAATGAAACACTCGAAAATTCGCGTATGATTTTCAAATTTTTGAGACTTTTTAAAAATTTTTGATCGAAACTTTTTAAAAATTTTTGATCGAAACATTTTGAAATTGATGGATTGGATTGCATGTGTTGACGCATGATATGATATGACGATACCTCCTCCAATGTATCAACACA